TGAACGCGCCACCGCAACTACGAAAGGCGACCACTTCGCCGCCAGCGGCAAAAACGACCGCATCTGGAACTCCTTCAGCAAGCACGCACTCGAGGACCCTCCTCCTTCATCACCTACTACTCCAACCCGTGGCTGCGCCTAGTCAGCGAAACCTGGCTCGGCCCGGCCTACCGCGTCACCGCGCAAGTCAATGTCGTCAAGCCCGGCGGCGCCGCCCAGGACAGCCACCGCGACTACCACCTCGGCTTCCAGGACCTGCACACCTGCGCCGCCTTCCCGCGCAACATCCAGCTGGCCAGCCAGCATCTGACGCTCCAGGGCGCCGTCGCCCACAGCGACATGCCGCTGCAGAGCGGGCCCACCCGCTTCCTGCCCTTCAGCCAGACCTACGAGCCGGGCTATCTGGCCTGGCGCCGCGACGACTTCCGCGCCTTCTTCCAGGACAACTACGTCTCGCTGCCGTTGGCCTCGGGGATGGCCTGTTCTTCAACCCGGCTGTGTTCCATGCCGCGGGCGCAATGAGACGGAGCCCGGCCCCGATGGCGGGTTTCATCGCAAGGCCAACTTGCTGCAGATTAGTAGTGGGCTGGGCAAGGCCATGGAGAGTATTGATACCGTGCCGCTGGTGGAGAAGTGCTGGGACGCGCTTGTGAAGACGTTCCAGGACGCTGGGGGCAGGTTGGATGCTGGGCTGGAGAACTTCGTTCGCGCCGTTGCGGATGGGTATCCGTTTCCTACTAATCTGGATAGGAGGCCGCCGGCGCCGAATGGTATGGCGCCCGAGAGTGAGCAGGAGATTATTATCAGGGGGTTGCGGGAGGGGTGGGGGACAGAGAGGGCGGTCGAGGAATTGAGGAGGATGCAGGCGGATTCTTGTGCTTGATGTCTTGAACTTGTTGCGCAGGTGAATAGTGTATGAGGTGTTGTGAGGTTAATTTGCTTTAGCGATAGTCAATATGATGCGATATGTATTGTGTATAGAATTCACGGAAAATATTTCCGTATTTTCAAATCATCCTGATCCAACTTGGAATGCTGTGGAGTATCTGAACATGCTATATAAATATGCATAGTACCTCGCATCCAAATGGATACATATACGCTGAGATCTACAAAGGTGTGTCTTGTATAGTAACACAGCCTGAATCAAGGGGTATTAACATCACCTCATGAGTCACCAGCCCACAAATACGAACGGATCAACAACACCAAACCGATGACTCGCATCTCATACGAAGTCTACATTACCTACCTGGGTAATCGGCTCAGAACTCACGAGTCACCATAAAACCCTAATTCAAACCCCAGAGCTATAAACACCAGCACATCCAACCAAACACCTCTACGATCACACCACTATACCACCACACTTACAACTACAACACCAACAGAATGCCACGCAAAGATCTCAGAACAAAACCCACCCAAGATGAAGAACAAAAAAGACCCCCTAAAAAGAAACCCCCATATAGCCACAACCCAAACCCACATCTTCTTCCACGGCGGCCCCCTCTCAAACTGGCACCCCAGCACGCCGCGCTTCCCAGGCCACAGAGCCCTGACCCTGTGTCTACCAGACCTAGACGCTCTGGGCATCCCGCACCCTTCGCCAAACGCGGCCGTCACACGACTAATCCGCTCATGGTCATTCACCTGCGGCGAGCAATGGATGATGGCGATGAAGGGGTGGTTATTCGAAGAGATTCCCGGGCTGGATTCGGGTGTTGATATCTGCGATGAGGAGTTCGAGGCTGTGAGAGCCGTGGCGGTGAGTGCTTCTGAGCCACCGCCGGAGTGCACCGGGAGAGAGCGATTTGGGAGTCGACGGTTGCGAGTGTGCTGAGGACGACGCAGCCGAGGGTGCAGAAGGCGTTGGGGCGCGCTGCGGAGGGGTTTCGTGAGGATGTGTGGGAATATGCCAGTGAGGTGATTGTTACGGCTGGGTGTGTGGCGAGGGCGGAGGTGGATTCGGCGCTGAGGGAGGTGTATCTTGCGAGTGCGGGGCGGAAGTTTGTGGAGGGGAGTGTCAGGGATCGTGTTTGGGGGGTTGGGCTGAGGTGGGATTCAGTTGAGATTCAGGATGAGGCGAATTGGAAAGGGAAGAATCGGTTGGGGAGGTGTCATGACGAGGCGGCGAGGGTTGTGAGGTTGAGTTCGTAGGTTGTTTTGTATGGAAATGGTTCTTGGGAGGAGTAAGCTGGTTATGGAATTTACTGTTATTGTTCGTCTATGGAGATATATAGCGAGTAATAACCGGGACCGAATCCTATGGCATCCTCTGCTGCTAAAGACATATAGACACAATGAGATCGTCCAGTGGGGCTTTTTGTCCCATTGGTAGCATATCTGGTAGCAGACCGCGGGAGATCAGGGAAACCTGAACGGCGTCGAACTTCTTATCTAACACGCCGATCGTCTGATTGCTTCATGATCTCCTCGGATAGCTCCACACTGCTTCTCTTGACGATGTAGCAGGGGTCAATCCAGATATAGTCAAGCCCATCTGACCGCGCTCGCGCAAATGCTCCTTGGACCTTTGACCATGAGGAAGTTCTTTTTTCGGTGTGATGTTGCATATCTGGGGATACGGTCCGGCGTGAATTCCACCAGTTGAATGGTAGAGTGTTTAGTAGACGCATTTTATCATACGGCTATATCGAAACAAGAGGTAGTTATAAAGAAAATCGACCAAGGGAGAGAAAGAATTGTCTGAGGTATGGGAGAATATATGGCTTCGCATTGGTACTTTGGCGCTTCGAGCCAAGGTAGTGTTGGTTATGCACCAGGACTGCAACAATGAACGGTCCTCCTACTAATTTCATTGCTCAGGCGAGGAAGAAGATGGTGGATTTTGACTACCTATGTAAAGAAAATATGTATATATAAATATCATAAAGCTCTTTATGCTAAGCCTTGGCTCTCTTTCATATTGGGACTCGAAGTAGTTGATTCTTTATATCTAATACTTCAAAGGTCTAAGAATAGTCTTCTTTCGAGTATGTAGAAAAGAATAGTCTGACTCTGAAAGAGACAAAGGCAGCCATTTCAGCGAATTTATATAAATTTAGTACCACCGCCAGACTTGACTGCCTTGCCGATCACCACAACCAACGTTAACTCCCCTGCTATCGAGAACTCAACATGGTTACATATAGACTGGGAGACCAGCTGATATCCTTGGAGCTGCCCGATGCCACGAAAAAGGAGATCGACTTTACCGATAGCTCATTCTTCAAGACCCCAAACCGCCACCTCCCAACACCCGACCAGGTGAGAGCGATATCCCCAGATGTTCGGAACCGTTATAAAATAACGCCCGTCAGATTTGAGAATCTTAACCTGATTGTCAAATCTGGCGTTGATGTGACAACTATCGAGGCGGTGAATCTTTGGATGATCAAAAAGGTTTTTCAGAACGATGTTCCAGTGCCTGAGGTCTTTGGCTGGCGGGTTGATGATGAAGGCTTTGTGTTCATTTATATGGAGCTGATCAAAGGACCAACACTTGAGGAGTGCCGGGTGTGTTTGGACACTACACAGAAGAAGGCCATCACTGATCAGCTGTCAAGGATCATGGGGAATCTGCGACGACTTAAGCAAGACACTTCCGATCCATTCGTCGGTAGGACCGAAAGTAATAAACCCTTTTAATATTCAGTAACTTACCACTGGTCATGATCAATCAATCGGCAGCATCCTCTAGGCCGCACTTTCAAAAATCAACCGAAAACTGGCCCGATCCCCAGTGCCAAAGAGTTCAACGACTGGTTTGCTTTGCTACCCTCGATATTCCTCTGCCAGAGAAGTGATAAACCATATCGATGCTTTCTTCCAGATACTGACGAGATCAAATTCACCCATGCGGATCTACACAAGGGGAATATGATCGTATCCTCCTTCGACCCAGTTCAGATTGTCATTGTGGACTGGGCGCAATCGGGATGGTATCCGGATTACTGGGAATACTGCAGAGCTTGCTGGACCTGCAAGAAGGGGGACGAATGGCATGAGGACTTTGTCGCCGAATTCCTGGAGCCTCGAAAGGAACTGGATGAAGTTTTTGCTTATTATTGCTACGCAATAGGCGCGTATTCTTAATCTACGTTCTGAGGTGCCTACTTATAAGTATGTGGTGGCATAGCAGCCTTTGTTCAATGCTCTTAAAAGACCTGAGTCGCAATAGAACAGTTATTCCAGCAGTACACTATTTACCCTCGAATAGCCTCTCGACATTATCAAAGCCCATCCAGTAGTCGGAAAACTATCATCCAGCGGTGCAACTAATTCCTCGCCTCTTCGACTTGATAGACTTAAATAACAGGCTAAGATTATCGTAGCGTGGCAGCTCAGCTAACTCATATACTCACTAGGAAGTGCTTACAGAGACAGGCTTATTGCTATGCTTGGCTTTACATGGTTTTTCAGTTACAGATGAATCATGTTTCGCATATTCGGTCTATTCTTTAGCCCGGCAATCGATTATACCCAAATTATTAACGTAAGAAAGGAAACTGCGGATCCCAACAACTATCACGATTCTTGTCAATCTCAATTCCCAGATCGTGAAGCTACTGGCCGTAGACCAATACCATGAGTAGGAGGGTCACGATTAGAATTAGCAACATCAATCGCCTCCGCATCAATGTATCCCTTGTCAACCAGGAGCCTCACGTATTCCATAATCCACTCTTGACATCTTTTGTTGGTGGTCTGGATTGAATCATGAATCAGTGACAGTTGCAGCTCATTGGTGAAAGAAAAGAACTTACATCATTAACGGGAGCCATAAAGTTCTCACTGGCCCTGGGAGCTGGAACTTGGCAGGCGGTAGTCTCAAGATCTCCCCTGGGATCTTCATGAGTAGCGGTAAACCCATGCGGCCAGTCGTAAATGTGTGCAGAGACTACCGCGCCAATAGGCCACATAGTTTACTTCTTGCTGATTGGAGTCGGGGCATGGCCTCGCCTGAATTGGTGCTTGAAGCCCTCCATAGGTGTACCGACGAACTCAATCAATCTGCCCTTCTCCGGATCGCTTGCTGAGGGAACCCAAGTTGCAAAGTGGGCACGTATATTCGTAGTACGTCGTATTGAGACGAGGAAGATGTCGCGTGGGGCCATTGTAGAGGATTAATCTGGTCTCGGCGTAGGTGACTGCAAAAGGGCTAAACAGATGTAGGCACTGGAAGTTGAAGGCTTCAGAAGGTAGTTCTGCTAAGTAGATGTATTCGTTCTTATCCTAAAAGCTATCTTCAACTATGGCTACTGTAGCTGCTTATATATGTAAGGAAACAAAAGAGAACACGATCTGGGGAAGGAAGAAGTGTGAACACCACATATGTATGGCTCTTTTACTCAAACTGAGCTCAATGGATGTGCTCAATAGTATTGCGATGGATCGTGGAATCGGAACGTGCTCCATGGATCAGGACGTTAGAAGTCACGTCCATGGTGAATCATAGTATGCACTTTGGCTCTTGCATGAAGGCACACCACTCGCCGTCAATATACGTCAAAGACGCACACCTTTCCTAGGCATGAGACTTTGTTTTGCATCCAGTAAATAGTTCTTCTTTGATTTCTTTAGCCTCTAGCAATGAATGCGAATAGAGTGCAATTGCACTCTAAGTTATTGACTAGCAATCCGTCTATAAAGTGCGCCTACCCGGAGAACTTGCCAATGCTTCATAGTTAGATATGTGAGTAGTGTCCATATCTCCTATAATCATCGGCATTGAGCTAGATTAATCGACATAGTGGCTTTGTACCAATATGGACGGTAACAGCATTGTAGCATGTGAGTAGAGTGATATCCACCGCCGTGACATGGGCCTAAGCCTCGTGATGACACAAAGACTTCATTGCAGAGTCAATATTAAGATATTCCTCAGGGTGGCAGTCCCATCTGCTAACAGTCCTTTTGTCTGAGTATATTTTAAATGAATGTTGCTATCTGTGCTAACATTTCATTAGCTGCCTCAGATCCTGCTTATACCTCGGTTGGTTAACAAAGAATGGAAGCATCCAAGACAAGTTTAAAGGGCACACAATCAAACAATAGAACGTTATTCATGAGCAAGATAAAGCGATACCTCATACTCCGCACCTACTGCGGAGAAAGTTATTTCACACTGAGTTAGAAGCTCATGTATCAACATTTCTTTCTATTACTGTCTTTCTGTCTTTCTGTCTTCTCCTTTCTATCTGCCTTTCTCTCCCTCTTTTGCAAGTCTGGCTATTTTGCAAGGGCCAGCAGGAATCTGTATTCCGTGTGATCCTTGTCTCCCGTTCGTACAATCCACTTGTCCATGCAACAATGCAACACAAAGGCAATGTACGCCCACACCACAGCAGTTCGTAGCTAGTAGCCAGCTAGTAGCTAGTTCCATACACACCACATACATACCAACACGAGATATCAAACGGCCTAACATTATCATTCATTACAGTACGCTACACTACAACGCAACCAACCCCAAAAGCCCTACCGCTTACTAGTCTGCGTAAACTCCCGATCCACGCGGATACCATTCAAAGGAATCTCATCTCCACTCAACCGCCCGCTTAGCCGCGGCCCCAGGACATTCGTGTACGTATTCACATAGTCCGGTCTGAAAGACGTGCCCTGCTCCCCCGTCTCGTCCGGGAGGTGGTAGAACGAGTGCCGTTTCGGGTGCTGGAGTATGGTGGAGGTGCTGTCTTCCGGGCCGGTTGCGGGATTCGAGGTCTTGGTCGTTTGGGCCGTTGTGCTCTGGAACAGGGCGGGTAGGCGGCCGTGGAGGCCTAGCTTGCGTGCGAAGAAGCGGAGGGCGGGGCGAAGCGTGGGGAGACAGGCGGAGACGATGCCGGCGGACATTTCGATGGCGGTCCAGCCGACGGTTGGCGCGAGCGTGTAGGAGGAGTCGGTTGCGGAGTAGGTGAAGAGGACGGAGAAGCGGTAGGCGGAGGCGAAGACTACGCTGTGGAGAGGGTTAGATTGGTTGATATGGATGACAATGCTGATGGAGGGAGGGCTTACAAGAAGCCGAGGCTGAATGCGATTGAGACGGCGATTTTCTCGGAAAGCCGGAGTTGGAGCTTCCAGACTTGTGGGATCGGGAGCAGCAGGATGATGATGTCGGTCGCGATTGTTGACACGGCGTTGGCGATCCATGTGCCGACTTGGTTGATGCAGCGGCCTGGGATCTGCGGATACCAGAGCTTTTCGACCGGGACGCAGATGAAGATGAAGAGGAAGGTGATGCAGATGACCCAGAGAATGACGAAGGTGCCGATGATGTATGCCCATGTCTTGAAGTAAGGGAAGTGGAAGATGCGGTAGTACATGAGCAGGATGCTGAGTTTCGTCCAGACGAGGTTGAATACGTAAAGAATCTCGGCCACAACTAGGTACTTCGCAACCATGACGACGTTACTGGTTGGGATCTTGTCGGCATGAAGTCCCATTCCTTCCTTGATCATGGCGTAAATAAACCCAACAACGACGAGGTTCCATAACTAACGACAGTCAATGATGTTAAGAGGATATTGTACAGAGATTTCAGAACTCACCATGGAAAATATGATCATGTAGTCGTCCCACCATAGTTTCTGCTTCCTTTCATACCGTGCCAGCAGTCGAAGGCAAACCGTCACGAACGCCAGCACCGTGACGGAGGCCGTGGTGGCTATCGACCATTGCTGAAGATCGTCCTGATCATTCACCATGAGGTGCAAGTCAGTACCATGGGGCCGGATACCGCGCAACCGACTCGCAAAAGGCGAGGGAAGCAATGCTTCGTCTAATATAGGCGAATGAGCAAGCCCTGGGAATCCCCCTTGCGTCGTATGTCGAACTGTTCATTCGCGGAAGCAAATCTTCCTCCGCAATGGAATGAGACATGTCCTAAAGTGGATCCCCTGCATTTGTGGATCGACATGGACTCGGGAAGTATTCTAGAAATCCAGGATTGGGGTCAACAAACCTGTGGAATTGGTAGCTTTAGGGTTTGTCAGGTCACCGTTGGCCTACACCGGGTTGGGCAGCTGCTCCGCGACTCCACTTGCCTCCTTAGGCCAGTCACTGAATGGTGGATCATCCACGTGGTTCTGCCTAGAGAAAAATACGGAGAATATTCCACAGGGTAACTTCCACGACGTCAAAAGTACTACCACTATTCTGTACCCACCAAGCCCTGTTAGTTATTTTCCTGGCTTAATCCTGCGAGATCTCAACAAGTTTTCCGTGTTACCAAAAATGGTTCCCCTTTGCCGTAAGTACCGCCCTGGTTTACAATGATTCGGTTAGAAAATAATGCAAGCTGTCAGATTCTGTATTCAATCGGAAGAAGACGATGTCGAATATCTACTCTCGGAGGATCAGACAATTTATATGAACTTCTTTGACCGGATATTCAGAACCTCTCGAGGATTCTCCAGTTACGATAAATACTGGTGTCACCTATGATGCCTGTCTCCAATCTCAATATATACAAGAAAATTATACAAAGAGATCCAAGACTAGCTCAATTTTTCAAAAGCCGAATAAAAATTATATCATCTTCGGTCCGCTGTTCTTTCTCTCTATTCCCGATACTATATAAATATTCAACATTGGATACAGGATCGCTCAAGACTAATATAGCCAGTTGGGATGAGAGTAGCCTTTCAGAGAGGACCTTGATAACACAGTCGAGTATCTACAAAGAAAAACAATTACGAAAGTATCAGAGCAAACGAACGCAAATAGTATAGTGAAGACCCTTCTCAGTTTCCATTCCGGTATTCTATGTACTCCAACCGCTATTTTGTGTCCGCCAGAAAAACTCAGAGAGAAATCAGGGCTGAAAATAGTGACTACGCGACAACAAAAAGATAATTCTCAACTTCCAATAAGTATAGCTACATATTGTCCCAGCCCCAGCCAGTGGCAGAGCTTGGCAAGAGAACTCAATTTCCGGCAGATATCGTCGGCGCAAGTCCTATATTATCTCCATATCTCTTGGATGTTGGCTCGGAACAACACTGGACAGAAGCTTACACTCTGCCTCAACTGATAATAAATACCCTCAGACCCTTGGCACACAGGCAATTGAGAGAACACTTGAGCCTCTTGAGCCAGAGTTTAATATAGTTCACCTCGACTTTTACAACCATAACCCTAAAATAATATAACTCAATTTCGCTGATCCAACAGTAGACTTCTCCTCGCCACCTGGGCATACTGTGGATATGACATGTATGACTGCTGGAGCTAGAACTGTTGATTCTTTTGAGAATTCCTTCCCCGAGGCAATCTCCTTTAGACGGGAATAGCCCGAGAGTATATGTTGTCTAGAACCGGAATTAATCTGGACTCTTTCTGTCGAAATATCTGATTTTCATTGTCTCATTCAGCTGCCTTCGAGATATAGCTACGGTAGCTATATCTAAGAATCCATTTTTAAGGCAATCAATCTTTTGAATATAGACTCTAAACCTCGCAATCTAACCAGAGGCCAGCACCGGTGCTTTAGGATTGTTCTTGTCCCCCGCAAAATGGATCTCGAATTTCTTATTCGTAATAAAGAGGACCACACAATCCTGCTCATCGGTGGCTCCATGTATCATCACCCCTCCCTCTGGAAATGCGACAAAGTGTCCCGGTTCATAGTTGCCTTGGTGCGTCTTCAGTGTGCCCTCAAGGACATACAATGCATGGGCACACGGATGGCTATGCCAAGGATCACATACGCCCCGGTGATGTCTGGCCTTGACTATTGCCATGCCCGACTCCGTATCATTGATTAATGGCATAACCTGTATGGCGCATTTCATGAAGTCGACCGGCAAGTCGTGCCACTTGCACGAGTTGGTATCAACAACAGTAAGCTTGACGGGATTTAAAGGTTTCTATCTTGGTTAGAATGAGCGTGGGTGTGCTTTCATGTATTCACTGAGCTCAGCCATCTTTATTTAAGCTATTAAAAGACAATAGAATTGTAGCATGGTAACAATATACTTGATGGGGGATCCTTGGTATCTATACACAAAAGCTTTGTTGCAAACTTTCTGGGAGCACCCGCGTGCCATTGACTTTTGTGGTGGACCATTGATAACTGAATGTCATATGTTAGTAGCCGGCACATCCAAGTGGTATCTGTTACTCTCTTTTTGAACCCAAGAATCAAATACGAAGCGACAATATTAACCACCTGCCGAAAGGCATGGAAAAAGGCTTAGCCCAATGGCTTGCCACAGTTGGTGCGGGTCGATATACCCGCACTGCTATGTGTACCACAATGGCCACAATTGAGCTGGTTAATTAGTTTGCTCGGGATTGGAGTTGCCATTTTCTCGGGAATGAGTCTATTATATTGTTAGCCATGGGTGCATGGAGGATCGGGGAGATCTCTTACTTGATAAATCTGCACGTAAAAGTGAATCCAAAAGGGGTATGACTTAGGATGCAGCAGGTACAAAGAATAGATCACTAAAATTCCAGGTAGGCTCTGGCTGAGTGAGAAGTTCAAGTACAAAAGCGGGCTTCTTCTACCATTTCTGGATGATATAGAAAAAAAGAGCTTGGAACCTTGGCTTAGCCAGCAACATTAACCCAACCCTGTTTAGGAGACAAAAATACCACAACCAAAGCTGCGTAGATTATATAATATAGAATCGACCGAAATCAATTGTATATATAGCATGTTTACTGTTAGACTATATTACCGAGCTGTGCTATCCAATATTTAATTAACTGGGTATAGAGAAACCGGTAACTGATAATAATAATAACTATTACAGGCTAAATATTGGAACACGCCACCTAATGGCTAGTCCTTGATTCTCCCAAGCACTTCTCTTCTATAGAAACGTTGGTCAATCCAGTACCTCTCGGCAAGGCCTACACAGGGACACTTCACTGATACTTAGTGACCATTTCCAAGAGTGCCGCATTCACCTCCTTCGGGTTCGTGGCATTGAGATAGTGCGCACCGCCCTCGATCATGACCAATTTGGCCTCTGGGGAAGCAGTGAAAAGTTTGATTTGTTCCGCAGGAACTGTTGTCCCAAACGGCGTATCCTCCGTGCCCTTGTCTATCGGTTAACGCACAGATCACACACTAGGACTGATTGGAGCTAGATTTGGCACTCACCTGTAGCCAGTAAACAGGACATCTGATGTCCCTCAGTCGGAGCAACAATCCGTCACGCTCCAGGAGGCAATTAAGTGCCATCCGCACCTTCTTGCGTCCCTCGTCACCCTGGTATACTTCTTTCAGGGTTTTAGTCCAGAATGCAGACTTCTCTGCGGTGGCCGCAGCCCCGAAGCCAATGCCTCCTACCAGCCCACACCAAACATCATCTACAACAAAGTCAGGTGTGGCGCCAGGGCTCGTCCACTTGTCATAGAAGGCTGTCAGACTGGCTGCGGGGTCCCAGCACCCCTTGGATCGAGAATCGGCTGATTCGTAATCCATGGACGTGCCCAGGGGCATGAGACCGAGGATCTAGTGACATGCGAGGTTAATCCTATTGGGCTTGGCAGGAACTAAATTCGGCTCTGCATTAGCTCGAACTTACCCTGTCCGGTGCGAGTAATGCCATCCTCGTCACCATCCACCCCCCTTGGCTTGTTCCCAGGGCGAACGCCTTCTGGATCCCAAAGTGATCCATGACCTGTAACGCCATGACGGCCGAATCCCAGTAGGTAAAATGCTCGGAGGGGCAGCTGGTCGCGCCATGACCCAAGGGCTCGATGGCCAGGAGGTTCATCGCATCGGTCAGCTCCTTATTGTTGAATTGATCATGGTAGAGCGAGACAGTCATGCACATAGAATTGATCAGAACGCATGTCGGCTTTGACGGGTCGTAGTGGTCATTGGAGAGGGCGTAGCGGCCTTGATTCCGCCCAGGTGGGGAACTTGGATGGTCTGTGTCGCCGCCATTCTGAGAAAATTTTTTTGATATTGTGAAGTGCCTCGATGGTGTGTGATTTCAGCTCGTATTCCTAGGCGAAGCCAGACTCATATCATAAACCGAAGGAGATTACACATGCCACATCGCTTCGGCACATTGCCCCTCCAGGGTTTCCCATCTGAAAACGTAAATCCCAACAGAGTCTCGTATTCGTCCACCTTTGGGGATTGATCTCCAATCGACCACCATATGGACTGATGTTGGCACGCCGGGTGTCGGCATTAGCTCCATTTCTGGCTCGATCAGCGCCGGCTCTTTGGCCCGTGGACCGCCCTAAGCTTATAATTAAAGGCGAAGCTGTCAACCGTGTCTGCTGTTGCCGGACGTTTTCCGAGACACGCCCGGCGTCTCCACTATTCGCGGGAACGGTCGAAAACCCCTCTGTTGCGAATTCGTCTTAAAGACTAGTGATCTCATAATGCCAATCTGCCGGTCTTATCCGGGCCCACTTGTGATGTGCCCTTGCTTCCAGCAGATTTTTCAAAGTGAGGCGGACAGACGGCTGCGACTAAAGAGTGTGAGGGGGCCTTGCCCCTTTTTCCTCTATTCCGGATCGCTAGGTGAGGGAGGATATGCATATGCTGCGTGAAAAACATCAGTATGAATGGGAGACGGTCCTGAGCTAAAGAATTGAGTATGTAGAGTCCAAGATCTCTGCTGGTGCAGAGCGAGTCAGCATGGGCCTTGTCTAACGCTTCCTCCACTTGATAGCAGGGGTTTTATTATATTAAGGTATATTATATCAAAGCCGCCCCAGATCGGCCAGCCATGTGTTGGTTCCTAGACCCATAATAATCAGGCTGTTGGGAGGTGATCCTGCGCAGATTTCCATAGCGTATATTATATGGACTTTACACATATATACCCCCCCGCATAGATTTCATCTCACGCGAACCATAACAAGTATTCAAGATACTTATAGCCGACGAAACGATATAATGCGATTATCTTCATGATACCAGGCGGTGCACATAATACGTCTATACAGCTCGAATATGGTTGCCTTCGGCAATAACAATATCTTCATCAACGGCGACGGTACTCACCGAGCTATCACACATTGGCCAAAAGCCCTCGCTGTCCCGACAATACCAGTCGACAGTCACCCGTAGTGCCTCGTCGAAACTCATCCGCTGTTTCCATCCAAGCGCACGCAGCTTGGAATCGTCGGTCCAGTACATACTATCATTGAACGGGCGATCCGGAACAAACTCGATCCAGTCGTCGAACTCACGGGTCCCATCGAGATGGAAGCATCGAAGTATCTTCTCCGCCACCTCTCGGATCTGTACGTGGTCATTGGAGGAGATATTGTACGTCTCGCCGTCAGTCCCCCTGTGGAAGATCCACATCGAG